ATTCTCTAAATTATATCACCTGTAAGAGCGCCTATACAGTAGCCTTTTTTTCAAAGGTAGCTGTTCCTAATAACTCCTAGTCAAAAACATAAGATTTATTCAGAACTCATCATTTCACTATAAAAATAGATACATTTGGAGCACATGTCTAAATGTTCAATGAACCACATAATTACTCAAACCTGCACAGACATTCCCTTGCCGTGTCTTCATCTCCTACAGGATTAATGAGGAAGTAGTTGGTGTATGACAGTTTCTATCGTCTTCTCTGAGGATGACTGAGGTAGTCTTTAAAGTAAAGAACACAGTTTCCAATACATTGTGCTGCCTCCACTAAAACCTTCTGCTATAAAATCTCATCCTTTTTGAACAAAAGTGTAGAAATTTACTGGTGATATCAAAGTACACATGTCTATGTTTGAAAAAAAAAAAAAAAATTGCTAACCTTACTTAGAGGGATGTACTGCATCAGTACTTTCCATCAACACTATATGCAGAAGGTTGTATAATTTATTGTATAGTATACCTGTATGTAAATTGCATGCACTACATGGTGTATCTATACTGCATATTCTTACATGCATACTCTGCATTAACACTGATGACAGCGTTCATTTGAAATTTAATTGGTTTTGGCTTGTACTCTCTCTGCCCACAGGACTTGCTTTAGATATGTTAATAAGCTCTTTCAGTGCAGGCTGCACAACGCACTCTGAGCAGTGTTTCAGTAGTTTGAAACACACTTACTCTGTCCTAAACCAGATGATGAAAAAAAAGACTAAACCTTAAAAGCAAGATATTATTCTCCCAGAGTGGTGGATTAAGATATTGCACAAAAAGTGTATTCCTGTCCAGATGGGACTTCACAGTTCTCTTGATGATCAAATAGAGAAAGATCAAACCAGTAACTTCAGTGCTTTATTACAAATGTTTCTACTTCTTTTATCTCTATATTAAATCTGTTTATTCCTGCAATAGTTCATCAGAGTCTGAATATGTTGTTTGGTAATGTAAATATGTTTAATAACAGGCTGCCATGTTTTAGCAAACACCAGCTACTTTATTCCATTTTTGGGTCTTGAGTGTCTTTTTATCCATTTGAACTCTGTTTTTCTAAGGGTCTTGCCACAGAAATCCCAAAGGTTACGCCTGAGCAGCTGCGCTTTATGTCTGAGTCATCAGAAAGAGACTGCTTTTATTCTCTTTGTGAGCTGTCATTATACAGCCTGCGCTGCATGTCTGCATCATCCCCTCTCCCTTTCAACAATAGAGGACTCAAGTTTAGAAAGACTTTTATAGTGTTTTCCAAAAAAGCTATATCATATATTATACATATATTTTATATCATACATTATATTGTATATATATATATATATTATATTATTATCTTGTTTGTTTTTATCAACTATTTCTCTCTTGTAAATTAGATTTTGGATCTCAATGAGACAACGTGAATAAGTAAAGGTTAAACAAATAATATAAATATATTTTTTTCCGATTTTTTAAAAGTATTTTTTCATATTACCATAGCAAAAATTGCTTGAGATCCAAAGCCTAGTTTTTTAATTTATTTTTGTTTGGGCTTTTTTTCTCGTTCAACCTCATGTTGTCTGATTCTCTGTAAGGACTTTCTTGATTCTCCAGATCTGGTAGTAATTGGACTCAGGAGTATTTATTCATCAAACATTTTGGTTGTTAATTTGTTAGATTACATCTTCAGGACCAAGGTGAATTTTTGTCATTGCACACCTAGAATATCTATATTATCTTCTCCAGATGCTTCCCCAGTGATTGGTATGCAAGGGTTAGGGTTATTCCTTGAGACAGGATAAAACAAGGTATGTCTGGTATGTGTCTTTTGGGATTTATTAGAGCAGTAAGCAGTGGTGTGTAGCAAAAATAGATATTCAACAAAACCACCAAATTAAAAAAAGTTTCCATTTAATAGAAACTGGAAGCTGAAATTAAGCTTCTGTTGCCGAGCAACATAGCCTGTCATTTCCTGAAACAATTGCTGTTATGATCCGGTTTTCAATTAATTTGGTTTCCTATTCCACCTTTAGGTAATCATGAAAGCTGACAACATGAGTGTATAATAAATATCTCTGGAGCAGATAATAACGAAATACAACGATTTATTATGTTAGATCATTAGTAACGTAATTGTTGTGTGGCTTAATCTTAAATGTAAGATTGAACTTATTGAACCTAGTTGTCCCCTGAAGCAGAACAGAATAAACAGGGAAATGTCTCTGCATGAACAATGAGGTGGTAATGTATGTACATCAGAATTCTTTGTGTCAGAAAGGTTGTTTTCTTGTCACTTGGCTGTTTTTCTACTGATAAACCTCTACACTTTCATCTCAGATAAGCTATTTTATCTATCGTTATTAATGGTCCGTGTAGTTATATCTTGTTAATAAAATCTTTTAGAAGAATCTATGTCTTCTATGTCTTTGCAGATATAAGGTTTATTTATTAATTTTTCTTGTACCAGTAGTACATATATACAACTTTTGTGCCTTTATTCAAAAGATTTGGGACTCAGAATTAAATAACTTCATAAAGACAAATTCTCAAGATCAGGAGAGCCAGCAGAAAAAGCTGGATGTTTGGGTGTTCCAAATAACCAAAAGATTTAGATTTATTTATTTATTTGACAGGGACAGTGCACATTAAAAAGAATTTCTGCAAATGCACCAGAATTAGCCAAAAGGCTATTTTTCATCTGTAGTCCCTGGTCGGATCTTAAAATTGTCTACCTAAAAAAACACAACATTAAGCATTTTAAATTGAAAAATACAAATACAAAAAGAAATCAAAACAGCTATAACTCTTCAAAACTGATTTAAAAATACAGACAAATGTTTGCTGGACTACAGATTTTAAAATAATAAAATAGGGTAACCAGTGCAGTAAACAGATTTTAAACGTCCAAAATTCAAGCTTTTTTCAAAAAGATATTAAATCATTTCTGAAAGTATTCTAACTTTGTAATTATTTCAATACGGGCCATCTGTAAAGTAGAAATAATAAGAAAAAAATTATTAAGACCAATAACCTAGCCCTGTTATCTGTTGGGTTTATAGCTTCCATCAAACATGACAGAGTCCTTATACTAGATGTAATGTGGATATGAATTATTAAATGGTAAAAGGCCTGTACTTAAATATATTTTTTTATATAGGACTTGACCAAAGCAGTTTACACTACATTCAGTTATCCACCAATTCACACACATACACTGAAGCACAGCTGCAGTACACTGGCACCACTGGGCTTTCCGACCACGCTCAGTAGCCAAAGCGGTTGATGTTTGTTGCCCAAGGACACAGCAACACTGAAATCCACACCCAGGGCTTGAATCGACAACCATCTGGTTGCAGGGCAAACTTCTTCTGTGTCTAACTTCTATAGTTAAGGTAAGGTTGGAGACTATACTTAATTAGCTGTTCATGGAGATTTCTTTTTTCTCTATTTATGAAAATGTTTTTGCAAGTACATGATTAATAAATAAAAATAATCATTTTGATGGGTCATTTACAAAGATGCTGGGGAAGGTTCTCAGTTACATTATTGAATATATTTTAATGTAAAAAACAGAAATTTAAATAGTTAAAAAATAATTGTATTAGAAATGAAAGTGTCTTTGAAATGACTTGATGAAAAAAAATGTAAAGTATATATGTAGTTTTTGTTGTTGTTGAGAACAGCTCTTAAAGGACACAGCTGTATGAAGGACAAAACCAGGTTCCCATCAGGACATTGTTCAAAGCATCGAACTTCCTCCACGAGCTTTACTTTTACTTAAAGTGATTCCTCATTCCTTCAATATCGATAATTTATACTTTTATTTAAACTATACTAAAAAATAATTTGTTTCTTTAAACTTTACAATAAATTTAGTAAGAAATAGAGTAGAATTTTGTAAGAAAATATAGTAGTAAATTTAATATGCCTGCTATTTACAGATCAATATAATAAATTCAAAATATTTACGATCAAAACATAATAAAATGTGCAGCCTTAACAGTTCAGTGTTCATCATTTGAACGTTTAGACATCAAAACCCAATTGCAATCATATTTGGAAAATGAAAATATTATTATTATTACAGCTATTTCTCTCTCTCTCTCTCTCTCTCTACAATGAAATCAAACAATAGATGTCCAGAAACTGAGTAAGTAATAAAGTGAAATAGCACAGGGAAAAAGTATTGAACAAGAAAAGGAGGAGCAAAAAGGCATGGAAAGCCAAGACACCAGCCGAAATCTCTCAGTAATCAGTGAAAAGTGTGAGTGAAAATTAACATCACTTGGTTCAGTTCTAAATGATGGCCTATAAAAAGTTGTCTCTGCTACCCAGACAATTACCTGATTTGAATCTAATATAAAATAAATGGAAATAACTAAAGATCAGAGTTTATAGAAGAGGCCCATGAGATGTTCAAGATTTGAAGAGTTTTTGTGTTAAAGAATGGGCCAAAATCACACCTGAGCAAAACATGCGACTAATTTCTCCACACTGGAGGTGTCTTGAAGCTGTTAGTGCCAACAAAGGCTTTTACACAAAGTATTAAATAAATTTCAGAAAGTGTGTTCAATACTTTTTCCCTGTGTCGTTTACAAATAACTTAACTTCTGGACATCTATGGTTTGATTTCTTTGTATGTATGGATTGCATAGATTGTTACCAACATCTGGTGAAAATGTCACGTCAATAGCACCTCTATAAATATATTGAATGAGAAAAATAGTAGCATGTTCAATAAATATTTTACTCGCTGTAACTACTATTAATGTTTCTGCGCGTTGTTGTCTCTATTTACGGTAGAATTTGGTAATCTGCAATGAATGCCTGCTGAGAAGAGAACCTTTTAGTGCCTTGAATTAAGATATCGGACTGTGGAAAAAAAATCAGATGAAAAAAAAAAACTCGAGTTTGAGAAAAGGAAAAGCAAACATGTAGATGTATGTAGGTTATCGGTTATGTATGAATGATACCGGTGTTTTACAGTGATGACGTGTATGTACGGGTCCTTCGGACTTCCGGGTGTGTATAAACAGACAGCAACGGTCCTGCTTCTCATACAAGATGTGAGTTTAGCCTCTTTCTTGTTTGATATTTTCTTTGAATTTGAATTCTCCGAAAAGTCCATTGCTTGTATGTTAACAGCGCTCTTTTCTTCCTGTTGTTTAGGTCCAAAGTAACCTTTAAAATTACCCTCACGTCGGACCCCCGGCTGCCATACAAAGTGTGAGTTAACTGACAGCTCAGCACTCACAATGAGAGCTGTAGCAAGCACAGCCGCGGGTTATTGTGATTTATTTACATAGATAGGCTTAGGTAGATTTTTTTCCCCTCCTGATACGTGTTAAACTATCTAACTGTATGGTGTTATGTATTAGGTTGTGATTCACAAGCTAACTGTGTCGATTAATCACAGATTACTTCCGTTTTACTTGAACATGGCAATAAAGATCCATTATCAGTTCAATACAAGCATTTGGTTTATACAAGAAAACAACTAAATAAATAAATAAACAAACGAAAGATGTTTTTTAACCAGGCAGCTTGTGTATTTGTAATTTCCTGGTTATCTTTTGAGGTAGACCTAAGTCATGGTTTAACTGGGTTTCTGAAGGTCTGTCCAGAAGGTTTCTTGGCCATGTAAGCAATGAGGAATAAATCTACTGCTGAAACTGACTGGCTAAAAAAGTTTATCTAGGCAGGACAGCTTTTCTGCCTCTAGAGTGGTGCATTTTTAACAAAATTATTGCAATGTAGATGTTAAAAGTTATTATGACAATACAAACTTTCTTCTTCCACATTGGTATCCCTGTTTTTCTTGTTTTCACTAAAAACACCAAATCTGTGCTTGAGAACTAAATTGTATTTATATCAGCTGTTAAACTGAAATTGAAATGAAGCACAGTCACAAAATAATTATTTCTACTAATTTATCCCATCTGCTGAGGTGACAATTTTTTTTCAACTTGTCTTTGAAAGGGCTGAATTATCCCTACTTATTGCTTTTGTCCCCTTCTAAAAATTAAAGAGTAAAAAACAACAAAACAAATACTATTTTATTAAATAAGCCTTTTTACTAGAAGGAATCTTGTTCTCTCAAAACATGTTTTAACAGTATTTAAACTGGCACTTACTGTTTCTCTTAGTTTTGGTGTGGAATTTTAAGCTTCAGTATACTGAAACCGATTGGATAGCATTCTGTTCTCTTTGTAAGGTTTTGATTTTTAAGATTAAAAAGGCTTTAATACTATTTGCTGAAAATTGGTGTGTTAAAAAAACCTTGTCTAAGAGATTTTCCGTTGCAACATATTTCTGTTGCTTCCGAACACAAATAATTTCAGGATAACACAAGTGTAATATTTAAGCTTTGTTTGATGTAAGACAGACTGCTGACACACAGGCTCCCAGACTTTATTGCAACTAAACCACTTCTGCATTTCCAGCATCATGCTTCATTCCTGCTATAATGCAATAGTCCATATCAATGTTAATCTACATGTTATTTGTATGTTTGCTTAAGTTGCTTAAGACTTTTTTTTTCATCATTACTCTTTAAACAAACAGGTAGAAATAATTTTAATCCTGATGTGATTGCTGACCTTTGCTAATCGAGACATGTAGAAGCTCGATCTACCTCTCTAATCCTCTGTTTAAATCTGTATGTTTCAAAGAACATGATCTGAGCTGTTATTTTACTAACTTTGGTTCATTTATTTTTGAAGGTTTCTGATCTTTATTTCCCCTATTACTGTTAAATATTAAGGGCTTCTATCATTATGAAAATACTGGATATTTTAATTGCAGGCCATTAAAATCACATATAAATTTTCTGGCTAATATCAGACCAATTTTTATTATCAGATTGGGACACCCCTATATTTATTCACCAAAAGTGAAAGGGTTTAGATCTCGCAGTACAAAGTTAGTTGTTTAAAGCTGGGCATACACTGTGTGATTTTTTATTTATTTATTTTTTTTCTCTTTCTTTCTCTCAATCATTGCACACAGCTACAACTCAGACTGTAAGATGAAACCACAGAGTTTCGTCTTACAGTGTGAGTTCACAGCTCCCTATGTATGTTCTCCCACTGTGCGACCCGACGCTCTGATGCGATCTAACTGCTCACACCGTATGTCTAAAAACCATGATGGACTCAGCTCTGCAGTGAGATTGCGCTACTTTGTCTCTTCTATCCGGAATTCAAACGAGTAGAAGGGGAATATGAAGCTCACTAGAAAGAAATGCGCTGCCTTGGCAATTTGTGCAGGTTTGCGTGGTGAAAGCCCTAAAAAGAAAAGGTGACGACTATTTGGACAAACACGTTTTTGTTTTGGTTGTGTAAATTTTAGACTTATATAGTTTCTACACACTTCAGGTGAACTGAAAAAGCTTTAAATATATATTTTCTCTCTTTCAGTTTTTTTTTCTTTTTAAACTTCTGTTTAAAAGTAAGATTTGTTTGAAACTTTCAGCATTTTGTTATAGCTCAGCAAGAATCTACCGAAGCGTATTGCATTCACCAAAGAAAAAAAATGAAATCAAAATTAAGAACGTACAAGAGAGCACACCTTATATCCTCAATTATTTAAGGCAAAACCAGAAGAAATCATTCACTGGGGAGGTTCTTCGACTGCTCGACATGTTTCACAGACTACAAAATTACAAAAATTGCGCATCACATCCCAGTTATATGATTGGTTCTAACCTGGTGATGCGGGCACCGTTAGTCCCGCCTTTGAAATCGAGCTCTACCAGCTTTTTATCAAACTGATACACCGTATTTACTCATATTAGTCTGGCTGGTTAGGATAAGGTCTAAAATCTTTTCATTTATTTTTTTAACAAACTTTATGGTCCCAAGTTAGCTCCACATATGACCTCAAAAACTTGATGCTCATCATTAAAGAAGATTTGTGTAAATGCATGTAGAAACTTGCAAAACTCTCATCTATTTTATTATAATTTTAGATTAGCATTTTACAAGATTTACAAAGAAAATTAGTTGGAGTTGTTTAACTCTTAGGTCTACGGAGTATTTAAATAATTTGGGCCAAACTATAAATTCCCCCCCCCTCCTGATCTTATGTTCAAGCATTAGCTGACATGAATCAACCATCATTTTACTTCGTCATACATTTAGATTGTGATAAACAAGTTTCCTTTGCAACAGAGAGTTGATCGCTTTTATTGAACAGCTTAAACCGGGACTTTAGGGGCATGAGCCAGGCACCTTTGAAATCAGAATCCCCTCATGCATGTGCTGAAAGACCAAAATGGGATTTCTGTTGATTGATCTATCTGATGTAGATCTTGTTTCATTAAGGGTTTCCTGGTTCTATGTTAATTAAAAAAGCTGTGATTATGAAAAGTCTCCCTAGCATATTAAAAAAAGTCCCAAAAATACACGTTAACCTGTGCTGCACTTTTTAAAACGTTTTCAAGTGAGAAATCATTGGCATTAAAACCCTCAGGCCAGGAAGAGCAATCTGACCTTTTGATTTAAATGTAAACCATTAAGCACAGTGGGTCAGAGCAGGTCTCACTACAGCTCTTTGCATGAATAAAGGCACATTAGGGTCTGTAAAAGAGCTAAGAGCGAGCCTTTCAAAGGTTACCCTCTGTTTAAGCATTTCATTAGCCTTTATTATCTGAGCTGTCTATGTTTTTCACAAAGTGCTGCCTAACTTGGTGCATCATTCTCTGCTTCTTGCTGCTGCACTGCCTTCCATAATTGATTTTGCTCACCCTGACAAGAGCTCTTTTTTGTGTGCCTTACTATCTCATTTTAAGTCTTACAAATTTAGAAATCTGTTTGTTGTGTTCTTCTATATCCTCGGGAGGTCTCTGTTGACAGCTGTTAGTTTTAGATAAAGGGCATCTGAATAATAAATGTGCACAAAATCTTAAAATTTACATACTTTGTTTTCTGTTCTTCTGTTCTAATTTTGTACTCAATAAACCTTGATCATTTTTTTGCTTCTCGTGGAAGTTAGAGTAAACTGAGCCCCGAAGATTAACCCTTTTAGGCTTTTAAGAGGTGTAGCTGTAAAACTAGTTTTAAGGAAAAATAAAAGTCCTGAATTTCTTTCTGCTGTTTATTTTTTTTTTTAGATTAAGTGTCCCTGAAAGCACACCATTCACAGCGGTCTTAAAGTTTGCAGCTGAAGAGGTAGGCTCACATTTTGCTTGAAATATTTGCTCACCAGTAAGATGTCTCATTCTAAAAAATCCTTTTTTTCCCTCATTCTTTTCTGACTTGAACAGGGAATGAGATATTCTTGGAATGGCTTTTAGAGTCATACTTTTACTTCCTTCCAGAATTGAAGTTGGTCACAGATCAATTAAAAGTTTGTACATCACCTTTTAATGCATTATATTGGAAAGATTAAAGGGTTCTTCCTTATTTCTGCTGCAATTGGGACTTAAGTGACCACATCCAAAATAACATGTGGGGAGTGGAGACTTGCCATACATAAAACTCAGTTGAATTTTCTTTATTTGGGTCCTGTTGCAAAAAATTGTTATTGGGCTAATTGATTATAGAGGGATTCTTTACTAGTTCTAACTAGAACTTCACAAATCAGGTTTTTCATAAAATTATCTGGTTCTGTGTGTGTGTGTGTGTGTGTGTGTGTATATGTGTGTATATATATATATATATATATATATACACATTAAGCTCTGTACCTGCTTTTATTTAATCTCTAAGAAAAAATCTCTGTTTTTACATGGTATACTCCTGTAGCAGAACAGGTATTTTTTAAAACATTTTCACAGTATCAAGACATATATAAACATAAACATATATGGGAAGTATGCCAATATTCGCAAGACAAGGTTTTAAGTAAAGAAACGTATCATTCATACAAAATCTGACCTTAAGGGTTTTATGTACTCAGTCCATTTAGTCCAGATTTTGTAAAACATGTCCTTTTGTATCCTGAGGGAAAAAGACACCTTTTCCGTGACATATATTTCGTGTATTATATTGATCCAATCCTCAATAGTTGGAGATTCCACTCTCAGCCATTTTCTTGTGATGGCCTTTTTACTTGCAATAAGTAACATACCAAGTAATCTTTTATCATTGCTATTCCAATTTGTCACAGGAACATCACCTAAATACAGTGTTTCACATTTAAGGGGAATTTTAGTACCAAATACATTATATGTCCAATAATTAATTACATTGTGACATTCCCAAAAAATATGGAAGTGTTTGGCACCAGTGACCCCACATAGTCTCCAACATGCATCCCTACCACCTTGATGATGTTTCTGGATAGGCATAATAAAGTACCTGATCATGTTCTTCCAACTGAACTCTCGCCATGTATTCGACCCTGCTATTGTCCACTGAAACTCACATATATTGGCCCAACTGTCAAGTGAGATAACCATTTTTCCCTCCTTTTCCCACCTCTTCTTTATACCTTCTGTGCTAGAACAGGTAATTTTATTCAAATAAATTACTCATTGATTGCACATAAGCTGAAGTCCAGGCATTTTTAGTGTAGGTCTCTACCTTTAGTGAGGCAATGGGTTTCTATCTGTAGAGCTTCCGGTTTCCAATCAACCACTTAGCGTTTTTTTTCCAAGCGCATGCACAGCACATCTTGTAAACAGAGCGGCATGGTTGCCACTGAAAGGAAAATTGCAATATCACTGCTTTATGTCACTGCTTCTATAGCAAAATGACCTGTAGTCCTCCTAGAAAGCTACTTTTAAATTACTTTCATTACGAGATGTGCGCATTGTCAGCTGCATGCAGATTGGGAGGAAGGTTCGTTAATGGGAGAAGGCTAGGGGCGGGGTTACAGTTCAAACTAATTTGCTGTCCTCGCTCATGGTTCTAAACTGTGCAGACTCAGGTACACTGCCTTAGGGCGGAAACAACTCATCTGGTTAATCGTGATTAATCGGTTAATTAAATAATCGTTGTATAATTTAGTACTAAATTAATCGTTAACTGGAGTATAGAGACTGTAAAACGCGCCTTTACCTGACAGAGCAACAAAATTGTAAAAAACTATATAAACATTTTGCATTTGTCAATATGCTTATCCTCACTCAAGGATCCTCATCCTTTACTCTCATAATACATCTTCTTTAAGGAACCTTTGGCTATTCGATTATCAATCAATTCATCGAAGAAATTATCAACAGATTAATCAATTTGCAAAATAGTGGTTAGTTGCAGCCCGACACTACTTTAAAGAATAAAACGTGAGCATTTTGGATGCACTGAATGGGAGGCAAAGGTCTGGTTTACTTAAATGAAAGAATCAATCCATCTTCTACATCTTGTCTTTCAGGGCAAGTGTTTAGGTTAATGGGAGGAATACACCTTGAACACCTTGTCAGTCCATCACTGGACAAACAACCATGCACTCACGCCCTCACTCACACACACACACCCTCACACACACAAACACTCGTTCACTTAAGGAACACTCTCAGAGGACGCCAGATTAACCAAAGAGAACCGATGTGGACGGACATGCACACCCCATGCAGAAAGACTCCAAGCCCGGTTTTAAACCTGGGACCTACTTGCTGCCAGGCGACCTTGCACTTTTTGCTCAAAATAGTTATCAAAAAATAGAAAATAACCATACGTATAGGACAACTTTAAAAATCTAAAAACAACCTTTCAAACAAAAACACAAGGTATTAGATTTAAAACGGCCATTAAATAGGAAATGAAAAACTAGCAACATTTTTAGAAGATATAAAAATCCTTGGATGAAAATGTAAATGTATCATGTCATATTTACATCGACTGCAGCTTGTTCCAAAGTAATAAATGAGATGAACTGTGGTCTATTTGATTTTCAGCAGGGATGTTTATATACATATGTGATCTTATTTGTGCGTCTGCCAAACTGAAGTGTTGAGGTTCCAGTTTTGGTTTATGTTGACAGAGATCTCATTCATTTGTTTCGCCAAGGTCTGACACATAAATCCTGCCTAAGCAACACAGGTGCAGGGTATTTTCATATGTTGAATACTTGATGCATGATTGTCACTCAGAGGATTTTGCTTTTATGTTATTCAGTTTTTCTTGTTTCTTTGTGTTGTGTTTTTCTTGTTGTGTTCATAAACCCTGAGAGAGATTAAAGCTACAAGTGTTTGAACTGATGTGCTGTTTTTACAAAGTGCTGGCAGGGTGTTAATTTAATGCAGTTACAAAGCAGCATACTGATGGAGCATTGTGTTTCTGCAGTGAATGTTTGGCACACACAACACAGCCCCCGGAAAGACATGGAGATGAAAAGAGAACTTGTTTTGAATTACACTGTTTTAATCATTTTAGGGAAACTGTTTTGTGAAATACTCTTTCCAAAGTTGGTCTTTTACCATATTTTTTGTGTAATAACTGTGCCTTATTTATTTTTAAAAAGACATAAAATAAAAAAATAAAAAAAACAGTTGTAAGTTTGAGCAAATTTGAACTCTTTCATTTTGGAGCAAAGTGATACCGACTTTTGTCAGCTCAGACAAAGCCAAATAATTGAGTTTGATCTGACCTGTGTTTTAGGTTTAATCGCCTTTTATTTGACCTGGTAGTGGTGTGTTGGATGTTATTGGCCAACCTTATCGCTCTATTGCCAGACTTCCCGTCTCCACCATCCCTCTGTAAATCCTTCCGGCTCACATCCTCTTTCTGCAACGCGCTGAAGTATGGCCTTAATTGTGATTGGGCTGACTGACTTTCTCCCAGAAATCTGAGCCTGGCTGTCTTTCCCTCATCTTCTCTTACTCTTAGTGTGTAGGATCTTTGTCTTCAAATACAAGATATGATGAAGGAATTTCTGAAAACAATTGTACTTTTTCCTATGTTTCACAAAACAGTTCTCCTCTGATCATTACAGCATCTTTTATTTCCCAGGATATTTTTTACTTTCAGAGTTGTATTGCTATGAAAAGCTTTTTCTTTTCTAAATGTGTGCTGTTGTTTTACTTTAAAATGATTAGTCAGTTAATGTGGCTTTGTGTAGTTCAAATTGTTTAGTAAGTACCTTATACTGCTATAGCATTTTAAAAATTAGCTCTGTTGTGATATTCACTTTTAAGGGTTGTGTGATGACACACCTCTTTTTCCTTCCCTTTCTTTTCCAGTTCAAAGTGCCATCAGCAACCAGCGCTATTATAACAAATGGTAAGTCCACAGAAGGATGAATCTCTTTGTACTTCATTAATATGAGACTTTTCACTTTCTTTTTACTGATTAAATAAAACTATAAACTTAAAGTTGTAGTGGAGGATGCTCTTTTTCCGAGTGGATCATCAAAATAAGTGGTCCTCCTAATTGTCAATTGTTCCGGTGATATGTTTACGTAAAGCCGTTCTACGTGCTCGGCCCCATTTTCACTTACCAGTGGTGAGTCTGACACAGTGGAAAAATTTGCAAATCTTCTTTTAATTAGCTTATATAAGCGATGTAAACAGCTACTTTTAAACAGAGCGTGCACGAGGAGAAATGGGCTTGTGTACGCTCTCACACACGTTTAATAGGCATTCCCTCTAGGGAGCGGGTACAGGGTTGTGCATGTGCATTTTTTTTAAAGTAAAGATGACAGGTCTTTTAAAAAATTAATGAAAATCCTCCACTGTACCTTTAATTAAAAAGTACTTTATAATATGGCACCTACACTTCTAATATGTCCCAGTTTAAAGCTATTGATCTAGTTTGAACAGAATCATATTTTATGTGTTTTTGACTACATCAAACATAACAGATAAAATATATATACCGGTATTTGTTTTTCATGTCTAGGGCTTGTTATATGAAGTTTCATTTCACTCAAAAATGCTTTATTGATCCCAAGGATAAATTAAATGTTGTATCTCATATTTCATTTTTTTCAACCAGTTGTTGTAAATATTCATAGCTGTAAGCTGATCTGTCATGCACCAGATCTGAAGAAGTCTTTTGAACATAGACATTCTGTTGTTGTTTAACAGTAGATGCGTTGTCCTGATTTTTCTATACCAGGAGTAAAATGATGGAACATCTGCAGTTGTGACTCAAAAAAATTATTTCAAACCTTAGCAGAATTGAATACTGGTTATAAGTGGTCCTGAACAACTTGACAAAAAAAAATCCCAATTGAAATTATTTTTGAACCAATAGTGCGATGGTGAACTAACCAATAGCATGCAGATGTTTAACTTATCTAACTTTGTATGAAAAAGTTTTTACTTCTACTTTCATGTGTGGATCTGCATGCTATGCTAGCTGCAACTCTCTTCTCCCTTCTGTGTGGCAGCAAACCCACTTTAATCGTATTACTGCCGCCCAAAGTGCTGGAGTGATAAATTCAGTGTCTTACTCTTGATAAATGTAATGTGACTTAAAATGAGCACCTCTAGGATCTGAAAACTGTGTATTTGTTAAATTGCAATTATATAGCAAATGCAATTAATTGTCCAGCCCTAGTTATGTATAAAGTATTTAATGAGGTGCCAGAGAATATGAAACCTTGCCTTTTGTTTTATGTAGTAGAAATCTCTGCTGAACGCATGGCTAGTTTGTTTTAAAACTTTGAGAATTACAAATCATTCTGCGCAGTTGATTGGATCATATTTTTGAAGATTTTCTGTGAAAATAAAATGAGCTTTGTTTCCTTGTGCTGCGGCAATCAAAAATTGAAAACAAACGTTTGTCAAGAATCTGTTTCATTTTTAATTGAAAGTTAAATTGACTGGGAAATGTTTGCTGTCAGTGTAGTTTGTAGGGAACAATTGATGGTGGCCATAATTGAGTTTTGGCTCATCAGAAATCTAAATTGGACTAGAAAATTGCAGTTTGTGCATTTCAGGTCGTTCTATGTGTCCAAATAACAACGAGGTGCAATATTTGCATTGAAATGGCTTCAATATGACTGATGCAACAAACATCAGATTTAGTTTGATCAGTATGGATGTTTTGGCCTTTATTAGTCCACATATGAATTGCCTGTTGCTGAGTCACACTCTCACTCTGATGCAGGTTATTTGCATGACAATTGCCATTGCTTACATTATGTGTTTCTTTGCAGACGGAATAGGAATCAACCCTGCCCAGACTGCAGGTGAGCTATGATGTTGTTTTCTTCCTCTTGCTTCAGATCTTCGAAAAGCTATTTTTTTTCCTCTGATAAAACAAAACACATAGCAGATATAGGTTTTTATTGTTTCACATTTAAAAGCTCTGTGATGAATTATGAGCTTTTTAAATCAATAGTTTTTGTAAGCCCAATAACTTCCTGGGCTTTTTGTTTAATCTTTTTGGGGAAATTACAGTGATGATGAAAAACTTTTAATGGGTATTTGATCACAAACACATTAATAGAGGGGAGAAAAATTAACAAGCACTTTCTGTGGTTAGACAAAGAAAAAAGGGTTTTGCTAAAGGCTTCATTGTTTTTGGCTCTGGCCTAACATCACCCCAAGTTGGTGTTAAAGAAGGTTTTATTACAGACAAATTCTGTTTTATGTTTAAATAAACAACTAAACTCAAGTTGAATTTCCATGGTGTTGGTGCTCCCCCTTTTTTTCTTAATTAGTTTCCAATGAAAAGCTCTAATTACCAACATTTTCTTGTTTTCTTTTTTGTTTTGTTTTTTTTGTTTTTTCATTTATCTTCTAGTGGAAATAAAATGTTTTGGTTTTTTTTTTTTCAAATTTGAATTTATGAAACAAAGCAAAAAAATTCTCAGACGTTTTAAAGAGTTTACAAAATAAGGAGTATTGATAATGATCAATTTACAGTATAGGTCTGATCTGAAGGATTACATTTATAAAATCCTGCAAACCTAATGGTATGCTTAAAACTGAACTGATCTTCTAGCCTGGTGCACAATTAGTTGCATTTCTAAAATAAGCTAAACCGTTGGTGTAAAGTTTAAGCTTTGTTTTTGTCTTGATGAATATTTAAAAACATTTGCCTATATTAAAAAACACTGACATTTAGGGGAGGAGGATATGTAAATGTAATTCCAGCATGATTAGCATTAATCAGAGAAGCAGCCAATAACTCCATAGTAGCTCTGAATGACCTGCAGAGATCCACAGCTCAGATAATCGGTCATTAGGACACCTACTGCTTGTGGAATCGAACAAAATTGGTCTTGATGAAGAGTCACAAGATACATTGTTTAAGGCCAAAATTATTTCTTTTTATAATTTGTCTGAAGTCATGTTGGAGACACTCAATCATGTAACTTGTCTTTTTGGTCACATTATTTTCAGTCTTTCTAAGTGTTCCATCATTTAAGACCAGGCCAGGTTCATTATTTTTTAAATGTTTCTTTTTATCACCGTTGAAGCGCGATCGGATTGCTAAGCACATTTTGTGGTCACACAAAGAAATATGCGCATTACTAAAGGTTTCCTTGAGGTTGGATCTGGTCTGACATCACTCCAAGTTAGTTTTAAAGAAAATTTTATTGCAGACAAATTGTTTTTTTCTGTTTTTTTTCTGTTTAAATAAAAGCACACTAAATTCAAGTTGAAAATCCATCACATGTTTTAGAAGGTTTTCCCTCATTTTTTTCTTTTTGCTTCACATTAGAAGCTCTACTTACCAACATTTTTCTATTATTTTTCTCAAGGCATGCACAGCTGAATGCACTAATAAATTGGGGAAAATATTATTGTATTGGTAGATACATAAAAAATGCTGATATATAAAATAAATACAAATCGATGTGTCTGGTCTTAATAAAACAAAAAATGAAAGAGCTAAACAGTTGTGAATGGCCAGAACTTTTTCTCTTATGATTGTTTTGGCTACAAAAAAAAAAAAAAAAAGAAAGATCTAACTGCTTTCTGTTGCAGCCATACCTGCTGCTGATGAAGACTTTGCAGTGGGGGATGGACTGCTCAGATGGTTCATTTTAAAATACTCTCAGATTGCTGGAAGAGTTGACAAGCTCCTGCTCAGCCTGACACAAAACAGACTAGTTTTTTTTCCTGTATACTCCGTTATCCTGAAAGGCAATCATAATACTTTCATTTAAACTCATTCTGTTCTCTGCTTCGCGTCTCACTGCTTTGCACCAAACTCTCAGATCAAATCGTTTGAGGCAAAAATGCTCTAAGTTAAATCTACATCAACAGTGCTTCATATTTGTGAGAAGCTACAGTCTGAGTTGATAAATACTCAAGTCAGAAATGGGTTAAATTTGAGCTGCCTTGCTGCTATGAAGGTGACATCTTCCCTACAGAGATCCATCAGTACAATGGGAGACTTCAATCTTTCAAAATAACAGTTTTATAGATGGTGGCTCCAGTATTGGCCTTCCTCCACTCGCAATACATCTTTCACTGAAAATATGTGGTCCATCAGGAGGAGGTTACCTCATACATCTCTGCAGAAATATGTTCTTTTCTAAAGGAAATAATGCATTTTGTTTCATAACTCTGTAAAATAAGCTTCTGTTTGCTTAAAAATTAAGACTTTTATGTTTCAGTTAAACCTGCCTTGAAAAGTAGAAACATGTATGGTGACTCGTGATCTTAAAGGAGGGTACCCAGTAGAATTTAAATGTAATTTGCATAGACGTATCTCTGTTACAGGAGTATAGGTTTCAATCTGTTTAGTTTAAATTCACTTGAGCTTCATATACTATTGTTATCCCCAAATGAATCATATGCTCTGTCTCAGCCTCCAAGGTGTTTCCCATAGGTTCATCCTCCTTCTTCAAATAATCATCCTTATCAAACAATCCTTACACATGACTGGGTTTACTGCATAGAGCAGGATGAGATAACTGCTTCCACCTGAGGCAGAATGTCTGATCTGTTAGGAACAAAAAAGGTATGGTGTGCTGGGCTTTCACAACAGCTTTTTATCCACACTACACTCTTGAGTGCACTGCCAAGAATAGCATCAGTTCAGACACCTTTGTCACATTGACTTTTTTCACCTCCGCAGCCGCTTTGCTTCTCGTTCGCACAACTGAGTACACAGCTGAAATTGATCGAATGTAATTTTAGCCTCTGTTTCTCACACGCTTATCTCATATCAGCCTCGCATATCTGCACTCGGCTGCTTCTCTGAGGCATAGCAAGAGGTCTCACTTTAGGGTTGGATCAGTGGGGAAATGTGCATGTGCAAAATGTCTGCATTTTTCACCGCACTGTCTGTTTAGATGTACGGTTTCATCGATGATGTTAATAGATGGAATTATTGAATTAGTTTTCTTGTTGGTTTCTCATAGTAATTCAGTCTGTATTATGATTTGTGGTGTACAGTGCTTGGCAAAGGTATTTATATTTAAAATGTATTTATATTATATCATGTTACAACATCTTTAATGTGTTTTAATGGAATTTAGTTCAAGATTGACAAGTCAGGATAAAATTATACGTTTAGATTTCGAACAAATGTTCACAGATCCTATTCTATAGTCAGGCATTTATTTATTTATTCTCTGTTAAAGTGGAAGCTCATAATAAAATCCAATATATTTAGAAGTCTTCTGCTAAAGATTAAATAGAAGCTGTGGGAGGGATTTTAATCTCTTATAAAGTGAGCAAACAACCTCGCCAAGACCAAGCAGTTCAGTAGACTGGTCAGGTTGATGACGAGCTGCAGAGATCTGCTTTCCCACCTGGGAGAATCTGTCCCTCTTGTCTTTGTGAAAAAAAATTAAAGTCATAAGACTTTCAGTTTACAATTTTACCACAGTTCGTATAAAAAAAAATACTGTGGTCAAAAAGAGAAGCAGGACAGCAGCTATATAAAAAACAAAAAACTGAAGCTGTAATGATATGGATTAGTGCAGCGGTTCCCAAAGTGGGGGTTGTTGGCACTCTGGTTGGTCTACTCATCAAAATGTGACCCCTGAAGTGTATGGAGGCCAAAAGCATCAAAAGAGGATACAAAACAGATAAATGTTAATATCTCATAAAATTAATAACTGCACCATGAAATGTACCACATTGTAATTATTATTTTGAATGTTTTTGCATCATTTAATATAAATTTTAAGTATTTCAAAGCTATATTTAACAGAAAAATCTGTTTAAAATCCAAGACATGTTTTTGTTTTTTCGACTTTTCCCCCTATGATGGTGATGCCTGTCTCAGGCATCTCCATTACTAAATGTCATGCTGAAGTGTTGGGTAACCCCTAGTTGTAAGGATAACTTAACATATTGTTTTTATTTCACCATATGTATTATTACTGCTTATAACTTGGACAGACCAGACCTAAATGTCATTGAGGATTTATGTCTAAAGTTCTTTGTCTCCATTCTCCCTCACTCACGCATTTGACCTGGCTTGACCTATGTTCCAATCAATAATGGGATACAATCTTTTTCTTTAGATGTGCAAAGTTGGTAAACGCATACCACAAAAATATTTGCAATGAAAGTTGGCTTATAAAAACATTTGACTGAATGAAGAATCATGGAAAAAAAACTACTTGTTTGTTTTTTTTTTTTTTGTTGTGTCCATTGTGTTTTTCAGGTAACATACCCTTAGAACAATAAATTGAAGAGAACAAAGGTTGCTTAAAATTTTTGCCCTGACTGTATATCCACATAAAGCATCATATAAGTCCATTGCATCGAAAATTGTCATGTGATGAAATCTGAAAAAGTTCACGATTTTCTAGGACTTGTATGTAATTAACGTAAATATTTTGAATTCAACCAAGTTGTCTAAACCCCACTGGGGTAAATCTTTGGAAAGAAATGTATAGGTCTCAACTATATTGTCTTATTACAATAAAAAATTAAAGTGTAAATGAAAATGTAGTATAGTTTACAAAAGATTGACATGTTCCTGTTTGTTTTAGGGACTTTATAAAAGACTGTGATCCTCACAGCTTTCCGTTGTTTGTTGCAGGGAACGTGTTTCTAAAGCACGGCTCGGAGCTTCGTCTCATTCCCAGAGACAGAGTGGGAGGACGAGGAGACTGACTTATGCAGCATCTCCCTGTTGATGGCATAATGACTCACACCACAGAAACACACAACACTTTCGACCCAGGAAACACCTCAGCATGTTTCATATTTATTTTTTCTGGCCCACACAACTGACAGTGACTCACACGAGACTATGCATATTTAAAGTCACGGGTGACACACAGAGTTAAGGAGTCCCTAAATAGATGTTATCAGATAGAAGCAGAGGTTTGGATTGGTGGCTAGAGAAATACCCACAGAGGCTGAGTAATAATTGTAAACATAAGACAGCATCTTTGGGTTTAGCAAGGTTAAAGGAAAAACCGAGTTGATATTAACTTTTGCATCATTTCTCATGTCAAATAAAGTAACATAACAGCAACAGAACATCCTCTTTTATTGTTGACTTTACCTGCATTGTAAATATGGCTGTTTCATTTTGTTAATAAAGGCATGAGGTGCTTTCATTGAATGTTGCTTTTCTAATGAAGACAGACTCTTCATGTTATATCTTTTTTTTTTTTTTTTTTATAAAAATCTCATGTTCCTCATATTTCAAACAACTTCCATTATAGATGTCCTCCGGACTCTTGCTTTGGACCAGGTGGAAACATCATAAAAGCATTTTAACCCATTAAATTGAACTCTGCAAACACGTGGCTCTCTGCTGCCCTCTGTCTTCTGAACTTTAATCAACTGTGTTTAAACTGGTGTCATATATTTTTTTTTATTCAAAGATATGGGCTCTGCAGACGCCTCATGGATTAAAATACCAGAGAAATTACTGTGCTCTAGGATTAATGCATGATGAGAAGTTAGGTTTTAATTTAGAACAATTTGATCTGTAGGTGCCAAGGAAAAGACTTAGGCAGGTAGAAAAAAAAACAGGATCATATCCACAGGCTATAGATTGTCATAAAAGCAGCATAATTTTACTTTTATAGCAGGATTTATGAAAATGGTTCATGCTAAATAGAGCAAGCACAGCTCCACTTTGATTGCATAAAAAATACTTTCCTTATAAAAACCTGAGCCACTCTCACTTTGCCTTACTATGAAAAAAGGCTGTTGGACATCTCTGCATGAATCCTTCATCTATACCCACTTTATTCTCTTCTTATTTACCCAGCCTTCTCAATGGTCCCTGGTTTGGTTTGTCTGTCACAGACACCAGTCGAAATCATTCGTTTTTTAATAAACTATCATTATTTATCTTAGGAAATAGGAAAGACACACTTCAGTAAAGAAGGTGCTGCAGAGAATAGTGATAAAAGCTCAATGCTGCTTCTCGCTACTCGTTAGGATGTAGACTCAGTTGGGGGAGGAGCAGGAGGGCCATAGCAAATGGATTTTCTCATTTATTTTAATCAAAGTCACTGCAGGGCAAATTCATCAGAAATCTACTTATGAAATGGCAAAAAGCCAGAGTGTCTTGGATGTAGCAGATGTTATCATTGCAGTTACTGGGCTGATGTTTTAGGACCAAGAAATGACTACTAACTACTTAGTACTACAGAATGATGCTGGTTTTGTCTCAAGCATAATTTAGAAACCAGAGGGATGGACATAGACACAATCTGTCTGAAAACCCCAAACAGCTAGATACTGACATGCTGATGGTAGCAGTATGGATTGATTGCAGTGATTCAGAGAATAAAGTCCACTTTCCACCAAATGGCTCTTTTCACAGATTATTTTGTGCCCTTTTCCTCTCTCCATTGTGTCTCACCGGCTTTATAAATGTCAGCATGCACTCTGACGGTGAACTTTGGCCTCCTATAAAAGGAAGCCAATCTAAAATGAGATCTCAAGATATTTCTTGGACTTGATGATAAAACCCCTGCTTTTAGCCACAGGTCAGTGAGCCACAAAAAGAAAAGAATATCAGGTTTAGAAACAGACTTCCTCTGGTGGTTCCAGTGACTAGATTTCAGTTTTCTCTCACAGAAATCATATAATATGAAACTAAGTAAAGCTTTCCACATGAATACAGATGGAGGTTATTATAATAAAATAACTTACTTTCAGTGTTTTTCTCAATGGCCTTACTCTGCCCTCTTCTGTCATGAATTCAGTACAGCAACTATAGGAATATACTGTGATGTGGGGTACTTCTCACTGCTGGATATCATAAAATGCTGCAGTTTTGACCTATTTACCAGGGTGTAGAACACTGCCTACTTATCTCTACCAGAAGTTAGAATCCTTTTTTTTAATAAAAGTATGGGGTCCCTTCAGGCAGCAATAAGATAAACTCTCTCACACAATCCTAAAATGTCTGAAATGTGATTTAAGTGTTTTCCAGGTCTGAGAAAAGAAAAAATGGTGTAGAAAAATACTTTTTTTAATTTTTTTTTATTTCAGTTCTTATCATTTTGTGTTCTTTTTTGTGCTCTTCCTTGTTTCATTCTTTCTTTTATTTCCTTCCTTCCTTTTTGTACTAATCTATATCATTACTGTTATTAGTTCTTAAAGCTCTTAAGCTCTTTTACACAATGTTTTCTTCTGTAAATTATGTATTTTCATTCTAGAATTGAGAAAGAATAAATGCAGGACAGTTAGTCCTGCAGCGTCTTTGTTTAGTTTTTTAATTTCAAAAGTGGCAACCAAAGCATAGCACTTGATATGGTATTAAAGTAGTTATTTTAATTGACTGAATAAGTACACTTATATAGCCCTGAGCAGCTTTGTAAGCACTTATCATTGGCGTTTATGCCATATATTGTTAAGTTTTTATTGAGTAATATGAACCTTTTGGTTCAGGGCTGCCTTAGAAAGGCACTCGAGATATATTTAAAGTATGAGAATTGGTTATACAGAAATACTGGTTTACTTGATTAGACTTTAATTGGACAACAGCTTTCTCTAACTCATTCAGAGTCCAAGTTTTACATAAAAATACTAAATGTGCATCCAATCAATAAAATCTTCTTGTTATTATTAAAAGTTGTCAAGTGTTGCTGTGGTGTGTAAAGCGCATTAGCCACATACCAGTTGTCACAGGCTCTAGTCCCAACCTACTGACCTTTGCCGAATGTCTCATCTAACCCACTTTCCTGTCTTCAAACTTTCAAAAAATAACAAAATAAAGGCCACTAGAGTCTAAAAAAAAAATCTAAAAAGATATCGAATTCTCTTTGACCAAACAAGCTAAAACCGTTGAACTTCTCTGCAGTGACCATGTCTGTCTCCAACTGATAGTTTGCTCTTAGCAGGCATATAAAGTAACTGTTTTGCAGCATTTATTGAGTTCTCTATTACTCAGAGCAACAGGAAAGTCCAAGTAACACTGAATATCTAAAAAAGGATTTGTAGATTGAAAGAAGTGGCGAAAAGTATTTTTTTTTAAAACAGTAGATTCTAATATAATCGGTCTCGAAACTGTTGCCTTAGTTCATAGGAAATCAGTAAGGATACTGAAGAACAAGCCAGGAACATCCCTCTCACTCTGAGTTTTACATTGCCATGCATTGACTGGATACCATCTAGTTTTATTCAAAATGTAAATCTACCAACATGAATAGGCCAAGTTCCTTCTGCTGCAAATAGTTTATTGACAGAGGAGACAAAGATTGAGCTGCATATGGCAACAATGCTTAGAGCATTTTATTATTTTATACTGGGATTAATATTCAACAACTGTACAAACTGAATTGAATGAACTTCCTCTTTGACTAAAGGAAGATTCTTTAACTCATCTAAAAACATCAAGACAAGCCAAGAAAAGTTATCAAAAACACATCAGACTTATGTTATAATACACTGTCATTCTGGAATGGCTTTACAAACCCACAAGTTTCTTAAAAATAAAGGTTTTTACTATTTTCACCACAGGTTTATGGCAGGGAAGTAGCCGATTTAGGCGAGATTTACTGAAGTGGTAAAATATCAGTCTTAATTGTGCCTAATGCTTGATCATAGCTGAAAAAAATCATGTAGTTTCTTTGTATCATTACATTAAGAATATTTAAAGGCTGGGAAATAAAGTTATTCTTTCTGATTGTGTGCAAACATCTCAGTTTTGCAAAGTAGCCATGGGGTAGGTGGTTATGAAGGATGTTTTTTAGTTATTGCTTGTGCCTTTTCACATATTGCCATTATTTTTCTTTGTCAACCTTACTCTCTTCATCCAAGATTACAACCAGAAAATATTAAAAACAGAACAGTACAGTATATACTAGAGGTTTATCAAAAAACTGGAGGGCAGGCGGTAAAAGATAAAATGATATTGAACTGACTCATCTCAAGGATATGCTAGATATTTTCTAATGCATTCTGTTATAGATTGTTGTGTTTAGGTTTTTAAACCATAAGGGGAGCTTACCAGCTCTCAGACCTGATTAGAACTTAAAACCTGTTTCTGACAGCTTATCTTGAGAATAAATACAGCACTTTTACTGTAGCTGCCTGAGTGAGCCCGATCCCCATTTTTTTCCCCACATTCGATAAAAACTTAGTCATGCTGTACCTTTTCTATCTCTCATCTTAGAGTTACGTGTTCTAGCTGCATTTGTTAAATCAGGCCTGCAGGAAAACCCAACTAATATCTTTGCACCAACTCTCTGCACTCATGTGAATTAAGGTTTCAGGGTGTATTATTAAATCACAAGGAGAGTGCATTTTAAGGACAGCAGCTTCAGTCTCAGCTGATGTGAGTGGTAAAAATAGAAAGAGCAAAGTTTTATGTGCTGTACTTTTCCAGCAGTAGCTTGTTTAGACTAAGTGACAGCGTGCTGGGAGAGTGTGACCTTGCAGTGGGGAGATGTCATTTAAAACTTCACAAACACTCCAATGGGAGATGGAGCACTCATGATGCCCACTGACAGATAATGAATCCTCAGGTCATCATCCGACCTCACTCTAAGTGAAAAACAACAATAACCTAACAGGTTGGTGTGCAGTAAGTTTCTTTGAAGCTTCCTGAAGTTAGCGTTAATCTCAAGGGATTGCTTTCTATCACAAAGTGAGCATTGTGTTCTCGCTGAGTGCGGCATTAACCTCATAAAGCAACCAAGGACAAACGAAACAGCTCTGCTAATAGATAGGTTTACAAAAACTTGACGGTTGCTGATAAGAGTTGTTTTTCTTGCAATTTGTATGGTTTTCATTCCACTTTACTATGGATTATTAAAATGGCATCCGTTCTTATTTAAATCTGATGCAAGAAATATCAATATAGACAAGGCAAGGAAAGTTTAAAAAAAACATATTTCACTGACAAGACAATTCAAAGTGCTTTACATCAGAAAATGAAAAGTACAGTATATTGCAGTGGCATACAGGGAATACAAATAGTTAAAATGAATAAAGGTGACACATTCAAATAAGTGGAATAGAGTATATATTTAAAAAAAAAAAAGTTAAAATGACTGATATAATTAAATAAGATAAATTATTTAGAAAATTTAATGAAAGTAAGACTGGAAATGTAACTAATAAAGCTGAGTTAAAGTCTCGAAACAAGTGTGTTTA